CGGATTAATAACAAGCGTATTAACCGATTGATTCTAGTAATAATTAATATGAGAAACAATACTAGTTGATACTTTAAGTAATGTTTAAGATATTAACATGAAATATGTATAAGAATTAAATAATACTCAAGGAAGAATATTAAAGAATATGAATCCTACTATGATTAATATCAAGATGTTGACTAATTGTCATCTTAGTAACACTCCCCAATATTAACATAGAGGAAGAAATAGCTATTACTATAACCAATGTCAAGATGTTAACTAATTGTCATCTTAGTAACACTCCCCAACTTTGATATAGAGATAGTATTTTAAAGGAAAAATTAATATTCAAGGAAGAAGATTAAAGAAAATAACTCACAACTTACAAATTCATTAAGCTTCAAAGTAGCAAAACCAAGATGGAAGAGTTTAGCTCCTCATTTGGAGACTAAACATGATGAAAAATATTAAGAAAGAACTATTCTATACTGAGCTTAGATGTATAAAGGAATTGGATGGTTTTTAGAGAAGAAAAAGTGTGCTATTTATAGGTGTTTTTCAACACCTTGGGCCGGGTACCCGACCGGGTATAGTACTTACCCGACCGGGTCCGGTCAAAATCAGATAATTCGCCACGTTCTGGTGATCTTCGCACGTCGTTTTGTCCCGGGTCACATCTGACCCGACCGGGTCAAGTAGGGGACCCGACCGGGTCCAGTGACTTTCTTGGCAATTTCGTCTGTTAAATCATACAAGACCGGGTGGGGGTTTCTACCCGGTCGGTTTTCACTCCTGGGCAGTCAAATTTCTTGTTTTCTTCTCTTCAAAGTCTTCCTTTCCAACACCACAAATCCTAACTATACTTTACAACTTATAAATGAGAATTAAAATACGATTACAACTAAAATCACACAAATGTTTACAAACTAAATAAAACGGTAAACAATACACACAAATCAATCATAAAAATATACATTTATGCACTACTAATTAGTGCATATCAAATACCCCCACACTTAAACCTTTACTCGTCTCGAGTAAATCAAATCCGGTCCAAAAAGTCCTTAAAATGACAAGAATATCAACACACATCCACGAGTGTTTTTAGAAGCACATAAAGAATATCCCCAAAAATATAACAGTAAAGAGGGTCTTCAACTCCATATTTCTTTATCAACCTCAACCTTTTTTTTGTTACCCTTAGGATCCTGCAGAAATAAAAAAAAATACTTTCTCTCGTTCTCTCATTTTGCCTAGGTGCCCTTTCGGGTTTTCATCCTAGCTTCCCACATTTTTCTGTTTTTCACAATTCACTCTCATTTTTGCTTTATTTTTGCTTAAGTTGCCCTTTCAGGTTTTCAACTTAACAAGCTTTTATAAATTTTTTTTTACAAGAATAAAGAGTATGAATGTGAGTATTCCATAAAACTCTCCCCCCAAGCTAATCAAAGCACTGTCCCTAGTGCTTGTGTCTGAGATGAATGTTTTTTTTTGTTACTTGTTGGGAGGTTTTGTTGGTGATTCGTGGGTGTGGAGATGAAAAGGGTGAAGAGGTGATGAATGAAATGGGTTTAATTGGTGGATGGATGTAGGAGATATGAAGCTTTTGACTTTTGGAAATGGAGGAAATTTGGGGTGTGGTTCGAAAGGGAAGACAAAGGGGGTGATTCATTTTTTTTTGTTTTTGAGAAATGGCCTGGTTTCCAAAAAATCGAGATACCTGGCCGGGTGGGGTAGTGTACCCGGTCGGGCGTAAACTGTTCACCCGAGGCAGAGAGTTTTTTGCTGGGTTGCCCGGCCGGGTATAGGGGTCTACCCGGTCGGGCGGTTGATTTATTCTTTGTTCTTCATCTGCCTCGCCCGGGCGGTTGGTCGGGTGCTGTGTTTTAAGAGGTAACCCGACCGGGTAGGGTTTTATACCCGGCCGGGTTCAATCACAGGTCATTTTTTTTAAATGTGTAAAAATAAAATAAAACAAGTAAACGTACCTTGCATGGGTTGCCTCCCAAGAAGCGCCTTATTTAACGTCGCGGCACGACGCCATCATTGTATTCAATCATTTAAACTTGGATCGTGATAGTTTAGTTTCGCCACATTTTCACTCCTAGGACGTTCATAGGAGTGCTCAACTTCTCGACTCTTCAATTTGGGAATCTTTCCAGGATCAAATATCCAGATTGTCATTGATTCATGCGGTGGGAGGAAAGGGAAGAAATTATCGTTTACTATGGTCAATGAAAAGTTTTTCGATCCCTCAATTTTGAAGAGGATTTCAGAAATGTCATTGTTCTTTCCAAGTTTATGAGTTTCCCTCAAAATTTTTAGAATTGATGGGGGTACCTCAAAAGATGACAAGGATAGATATTTGACCTTGAAGCTCAGATTATCCTCTTCTTTGACTAGTTGGAGCTCCGTGTCTTTTTCTTCCTCTACTTCTTCTGGATTCTGGATCTCCTTTTGCATTTCCTCTTCATTTGTCAATGTGATTGCAAAAGTTTGCTGTTTTGGATCACATTCTAGTTGAGAAGGAGGTTTTTCTGAGTCCCTTGCTTCAAGCCTACTCACGACTCCGGCTATTTGACTCATTTGAGTTTCCAAGTTCAAAATGCTAGACTTCGTCTCATTTTGGAATTGCACCATGTTTTGTTGCATGGTGGTCACACTGTTAGTAAGAGCCCGAACCATGTCCTCCGTGGACATATTAGAGTTGGAGAATGGATCATACCTCATGTGAGGTACATCATCAATTTGTGCAAGGTATTCTTCTTGGAGCTTTGGGCAGAAGTTCGTAAGATGCCTATGAGACATGCAAATGTTGCATGTCTTGGCATCCTGAGCTTTTGAGTTAAAGATAGATTCCTTTATTAGAGAAGTCAAGAAAGAAAATTGACTCTCTAAGGATGAAGTGTTAGTATCCATATACTCATAACTCATGTGAGCTCAGAAAATAGAAGAGCAAGAATTTTTTTTTTATTATATATATATTTTTTTGTTTTTGATTTTTCTTGAAATGAAATAAAAGAAAAATTAATTGCCTTTCCCCGGCAACGACGCCAAATTTGACGTGCACTTGTCGTGAGGTGCACTCAAAATAAATACAATACAACGAATATACGTAGTATAACGAAGTAAGGTTCGTATCCACAGGGAAAGGAATACTTTTCTTTTATATAAATAGTAACAAGGGGGGTTTAGATTTGTTTGGTTTAAAAACACTAAGATAAACAACCTATATGAGTTTAATTCAATGAGATGAGGGCTTGGTTTTGCTTTTATCCACTTAATGAAATGTTCGTCGATCCCGGTTATATCTTTAACTAACTTCCTCTCGAATACTCAATCGAGGAGTATATCCAGTTCATCGAGGGTAGTTATTAATAACGAGATGCGTTCATTAATAAAACTTACTATCGAGTCAATATAGAACAAGCACCGTATATTAACTTGATAGTAGCAATAAACTTAAGATGAAAACGATTGAGATTGATAACCTCAACACAAGCGGTTTATTGGTTTAATCAATATAATTAATTCCCCTTGGCATATTAACCATGAGATGCATGCATTAACATTCCAAGTTTACTACCGTTGAAAGAACCGGATTAATAACAAGCGTATTGACCGATTGATTCTAGTAATAATTAATATGAGAAACAATACTAGTTGATACTTTAAGTAATGTTTAAGATATTAACATGAAATATGAATAGGAATTAATTAATACTCAAGGAAGAATATTAAAGAATATGAATCCTACTATGATTAATATCAAGATGTTGACTAATTGTCATCTTAGTAACACTCCCCAATATTAACATAGAGGAAGAAATAGCTATTACTATAACCAATGTCAAAATGTTAACTAATTGTCATCTTAGTAACACTCCCCAACTTTGATATAGAGATAGTATTTTAAAGGAAGAATTAATATTCAAGGAAGAAGATTAAAGAAAATAACTCACAACTTACAAATTCATTAAGCTTCAAAGTAGCAAAACCAAGATGGAAGAGTTTAGCTCCTCATTTGGAGACTAAACATGATGAAAAATATAAAGAAAGAACTATTCTATACTGAGCTTAGATGTATAAAGGAATTGGATGGTTTTTAGAGAAGAAAAAGTGTGCTATTTATAGGTGTTTTTCAACACCTTGGGCCGGGTACCCGACCGGGTATAGTACTTACCCGACTGGGTTCGGTCAAAATCAGATAATTCACCACGTTCTGGTGATCTTCGCACGTCGTTTTGTCCCGGGTCACATCTGACCCGACCGGGTCAAGTAGGGGACCCGACCGGGTGCAGTGACTTTCTTGGCAATTTCGTCTGTTAAATCATACCCGACCGGGTGGGGGTTTCTACCCGGTCGGGTTTCACTCCTGGGCAGTCAAATTTCTTGTTTTCTTCTCTTCAAAGTCTTCCTTTCCAACACCACAAATCCTAACTATACTTTACAACTTATAAATGAGAATTAAAATACTATTACAACTAAAATCACACAAATGTTTACAAACTAAATAAAACGGTAAACAATACACACAAATCAATCATAAAAATATACATTTATGCACTAATAATTAGTGCATATCACTGACCCCAGTAGAACTCAAGGTCAGACCAAGGCATTATGTACTTAGACAAGTCCGTGAGGACCAGCACCGCAAGGAAGTACTGCCATGTCATCACCAGCAGCAGATAATATGCCAGGATGCACACGCTTAGCCACACGGGTATTCTGGTAGTAATTTGTTAGAGGTAATTCCAATCAGCCAGTTGTCCAAGACTATCTCTCCAATCACCTTTATACATGGCTGCTCCCCATCGAATTAGACTGATAGTTGGTTAGAATAGCTTTACATGTGTCCCCTTCCCATTTGATCAGTATCTTTTTACTTGGGCACCAAGTATTTCCTTCTATCTCTTAGTATAATTATCACCTTCCAATTTGTGTAAAGAGATTGCATTCTCTATTCTCCTACTGCTATACTGACGGATTGTCTACCTGTGTTTTCCGATCAGTTCACTCTCCCATTTTACTTGGATTCTGACTACCCACGGTCCGGTGATCCATCGACATCTAAGCATGGGGTTTGTAAATCCCGTTTCCAACAATCAAAAAATGATAAGATGGGAATAGAGAAGAGAAGAAACCTTGTATTGAATATGAGATTGATGTTTGCTATTACAGAGAAAATGTTCCAATACACGTGTGCGGTTGTCTCTCTCTACAGAATGTAATGAATGCCTAGCTATTATGCCTACAATTCTTAGGGTTTACGTAAGTTAGCCTTCCTTGTATAGAAAAGGGTGCTAACTTATGTACTACAAAGTGCTAAATGGGCTCAAATATAAGAGTGACCCCTATTAAATAACTAATATAATAACAACACAAATACAAAGATAAATAACATGAGATTGGTTTGAAAACAATAAACAGTTCTAACAATCTCCCCTTTTGTGTTCAATCAGCATTGCAGCGTGAGTATCTTTGTATTTGTGTTGAATCTGCAATGTAGAGGAGGGGGAATATGAGATTGGTTGAGTTGCTCCTCTTTTATCTTGATCTTCATTGCAATTCAGCTTCCTTGTTTTGCCTTCTTCGAAAGGCTTCCTGAAAAAATCAATACAATCTCCTCTTTGATGTATTCTGTCAATTTGTTCTTTGATGAAGGGGTTTTGGGATCTTCAAATTCAAATGTTGTATGTAGCCATTGCCTTTCATATGTTGTTCTTGATTAGCTTAAATGAAGTCCGATGGCGCCTCCAGTGTGAATGTTTTTAAGAGTTCCAGGTGCACACGAGATTCATCTTCAGGATTTGGTTATCCGACCTCTACCTCTTACAGAATGTAGCCTTTTTGACTATTTGATGCGAAAGATCTTGAGCAACAGTTGTTGATGGCACATTGGGAAATGATGGTCGATTTGTAAATATAGTTGACCATTTAATTTGAAGCTGATTTTGCAGTTATGTTGAATTAGAGAGAGTAGAGAGTCATCACCTTTTGTCATGTGATCCAATGAATCAGGACGTCATGCCTTTATTCATCCTTTTATTCTGGGTAACAAAACAAAAACAAAAAATAAGGTAAAGACCGTAAACACATTGGCGTTCTGTTACCATATAATCAATGAAAAACACTCATGTGTGGCCTGCATAAAATGATAGAAATGTTACAGTTTTAATAGGATTTCCAACCAATCCTCATGAATCATTTAAATCAAATGTCACTCCAGTCGTTATGACATGAGCACATGGATCAACAAATAAAGTGTATCCATGGGGTCACGTAGACGCCCGTTATCATCACTATAGAGGTAAACTCCAAAGGATGACCAAAACACGTTGGTGATATCGATGTTGCAATGTCAAGACTTCATTCCAATCATTGGACTGCATCCATCAAAGATGAGCCTAAGGAAATTCTCGCACGGCCACGTGGATCATCAATTGACTTCAAAATGTGTCTATCTCCTCTAAAATTCAAAACATTTAGGAGTGAGGTAACTAGACACAACGTGATCAATGAAAGTTCAGTGGTGTGGGGCTAAGCACCACTGTAGTTAGTATCACTCACCTCGAAAGGAGACAATGATAAAATATGAGATTCCCCTTGAAATTTGATCAATCACCTATTTGTTGGGAGACAAATGAGTGATCTAGGGTAGGGTTGTGCATGCATCGTTGGATAAGATGCAACGACTTCTAGATGGGATCTCATTAAATCGATCTTGAACCTATGAGGATTGTTTGTAGAATTTGAGTGACTAAGATTGATTCCTTGATTGATAGCGCAATTGAGGTAGCATAATTGTCTTTGTTTATTATTTTCTTGCTCACTTGAGTCTTCTGTTTGCTCTCTTTTAATATGTTCACTCACACTCAGCTTTGTCCTTTAAGTAGGCTCAGTTGGGGTTTACTGAGCCATTGGGACTCTTTCTGTAATTGTTCTTTGCTTCCCCTCAATAAGAGCACTCGATATGATTCATTTGACGTTGTTTGGAGCTTGGTAGGACAACTTTGAAATTCTCACTCAAAAGGTGCATCCTTGAGTTGAAAGTATTGTTTTTTGTTGCTCGGGGAGTAAGATTGAAAACTCTCCCTTGAAATGTGCTTCTTTTTTTCATTGCAAGGCATCACGAAGAGTGACAAAGAAACACTCTCCCTCAGAGTATGCACTCAACATGTGTTGGCATTGAGGTGTGCATTTGTTGATTTTCTACTCAATGGAGAGTATACACGCTAATATACCCCTTCATATTGTGCAAGGGTTGATTGCTCACAACTCGTCTTCATACCCGCCATGTGTGTGGAGCAATCAGATTAGGTACCACACATGAAGGACCTGCAATAGGTTAAGGAACCTTTGTTATCCATTTTAGACTGGGTCCATCTCTTTCAGCACAAAACATATTTTGAAAAGTTTGTTTTATTTTTGTTCCTAAATCAGTTTCTTTTGAAGCTTTTGGAGGGCTATCTGATTGGGACTCTGATTTAGGAATCCATTTTGAGTCATTGCAGGTGTAGGAGAATTTTCAGCACAGGTGAATGATGAAACAAATTTTGAAGAAGTAAACATTTTCTCCCTTGATCGATTCCCGTTTCAGATGGTTGGTTAAATAAACCTTAAGGGGATATGTCAAACAAACACCAAACCTCCTAACTTCAGCAATAGAATGAGAATCGCAAATTTAAAGTCATCAAAGTAAGACAAAGAAGAATGGTATGTGACAGAGCTAAATAATTGACAGTTTAATGAACTCGAACTTTCTTTAAAAGTGCTCATTGAAACGGGGAGGAGGAGGAGACTGTAATTGTACTTGGGGCAATTTTTAGAAGAGAGATCTCATTTAAAAGTCATTCAAATGTTCTGCATAGAAAACCTCTATTTCAGTTTCCAAAGATTTGTGAAGGTCCGTAATTTTTGCGAATGATCTTTGGAATGTAAACATTATCACTTTTGGATTTTTCAGAAACACATTGTTCTTCCCGTACAGACATAGACTCGCTTGCTTCACGGAAAAGTGATGCATAGTAATCAGACACAGGAATTTCCGGAGTCTTATAACTAGCATTTAGTTGAGTGTAGTCAAACGAGATCTCAATCCCATAATTATTTTTTCTCATTTCCCTTTCTTCGGCCTCAATTTTTGACGCTCCCACGAAAGACATAAGTTTCGTGAAACCCAAACTCATGTATCTAATGTCATACTTGAGCACAATTGACTTTCTTCAGGTGACATGGTTCATGGTAAACTTGCTTCGCGAAGCTAGATAGAATAGTTGAACTAGATAGAATAATTGAACCTAATATTCTCGTTGTGACAATCCAAAATTCTCACCCCGAGTTACAAGTTATCGTTCGAAATTGATTTCATTAAATCAACCAAATGCTACTATTTAGATCGATCAATATATGGCGTTTGTTCTATATTGAGTAATAGTACGGGTTATGAAGTAACATGTCTCGTTATTAATAATTATCCTTCCTAAATTGGATGATTTAATCTCCACGATTAAGTATTCAAGAGGGGGGAAATGAATTAGTAATTGTGATCAACAAGCACTTCACTGAGTGGAAAATAGCAAAATCAAAGGTGATAAACTCAAAAAAAGAATAAACTCCAATTTTTAAAAAAGTGATCTAACTTTTTTATTAATACTCGAATTATTATAAAAAATATATCAACGTTCGTAACTTTTTATTATCTTTCATATGACACAAATATTAAATATATAAAAATTAAAAAAATAAATTACCACTTTAGAAAAATTTTGATTTTTAAAGAGTTATAACTTTTTTATTTTTATCCCAATTATTTTTAAAAATATATCAAAATTCATAACTTTTTATTATCTTTCTTTTGACTCTAATAATTTATAGGTAAAAATAAAAAAATAATTTAGCACTTTAAAATTTTTTTATAGTCTTATATACTAAAATAAAAAATCTTTTATCTTTCATGTGCCACTAATATTTCATACATAATATCTTTCAACTTTTATACATATTTTGATATATTATTTTAGACCATCAGAATACAAAAAATGGTATAATGCTCTAAAAATAGATTTTTTGAAGTGCTAAATTATTTTTTTATTCTTACCTGTTAAATATTAGTGTCATATGAAAGATAATAAAATCTTATGAATTTCGATGAAAAATTTAAAATAACCGGAGTACAAATAAAAATTTATAACACTTTGAAAAACAGTTTTTTTAAATCTCAAAATTATTATTTTAATTTTTATATATAATATTGATGTCATATGAAAGCTTACAAAAAGTTAAGAATTTTGATACATTATTTATAACAATTGGAGTACTAATAAAAAGGTTACAACATTTTTTTTAAAATGGGGTTTTCTATTTTGTTGGGTCCCATGAGTGCCCCTTCCCCAATTTTGTGCTGCGCAATGTGCTTCTACGTCCTATATCAGTTATATGTAAGTCGCCAATGAGAATAACGATTGCCTTGACCTAAGTTAGTCCAGCATCATAAATATTTTTAACTCAACATCAATTTGGAAAATAATTTTTTATTCATCATTAATTTGAAAAAATCTTCATTTTCTTGTGGATACGAACGCTACTACGTATATTACATTATTAGTGTTCTTTTGAGACTAAGGAACCGTTCTATTGAACTTATTCTTATTGCTTATTGTTTATTCTTATTTTATTCTGATAAGATCAAATCATAAAAATTCATATCAAAATAGAAAGATTCAGACCAGATTAGATCAGAAAGATTCAGACCAGATTCTTAGTCTCAACTATAACGTTAATTATATTTCTGGTCTGATCTGATTCTTTCAGACAAAAAAGATTCAAACCAGACCTAGATAAAAAAATCTCAGATCAGATCAGATCTTAAAAAATCAGATCAAAATCATTCAGATGAGACGAGTACAGTGGAACAAGTTCTAAGGCTTGGATGTTGTGGTTGGAAGTTTGGTGCCACAAACACATGAAGCTTTTAATTTTGAAAAATGCAACTTGTACACATTGGTTTACACGTCAAGTGTAATTGTCTATGCATAGATTATTGATTTCCAATTTAGTAAAGAAAAATGAATAGACCGTGAAATTGTTTGCGCGCAGACAATTCATTTTCTAGGGGTCATAGACATTTCCCTTTATTAAAATGAAAATCAAATGTTGTGTGCAAAGACAATTACAGATTTGCGTGTACAAGTGGTGCGATAGTATATAGTCCTATAAAATATAAAAGTCATATTTATTTATGCGTTTCTATATATGTTATTTCTACCTTCATTAGCGATTGATAAAACTTGTAATTTTACTGAAAAAACATTGTTTTGTTCTTATTCAAGGGATTGGATTTCGTCATGTGGTATTACTATACATATGATAATGCATCGTGGTCGTCATTTGGATGTATATTGATTGTCATTAATTATATTCTTGAAATTAGTTGAAAGTAGTAATTTGGATCGCCATGATTTGTACAGTATTATATACTCCGTATAATATACTATATAATTATAAACTTGGTACGTACACAGGTATTGTTTGGCAGTAAATGTAATGGGATTTGTATATTCTGGATTTCAAGGGTTTAATATATCGTACCGCTTGGCCACAAACTCATCCACCTATTGTGCTCTACGTTATCATCTTGATTTTGTGATGGACCAGGCAAGTAATTGCATTTGTTTTCCTTTTCAATTCGAACACAAACATCATATATAGTATGCATGGATGCAGATTTTGGCTTACCTATTGATGTCGGCATCATCATCGGCGGCAACAAGGGTGGAGGATTGGGTATCCAATTGGGGGGAAGATGAGTTCACAAAAATGGCGACCGCCTCCATTGCCATGTCTTTCTTTGCCTTTCTCGCCTTCGCCTCCGCCTCTCTCGCCTCTGCTTATTGTCTCTCTAATCATCGTTTCAATAACAACAACCCTTCAGCGCTCGGCTCGTAGGAAGCTAAGTATTTACTCAAATCGATTGAGTCATGAGTTGTGTTGCTTTAAATAAAGTATTAAGTGATTTTAGAATTTTTATTACGTTATTTGATGAGTATTCAATTGATTTCAGTGTAAGTATTTAGGCATCTAAATACTCAATCTAAATACTTACATTATTTCAATTGATTTTATTTACATTATTTTATGTTATTACATTATAGTAGTAAATTCATTAGATGGCTCTGCCTATCCTATATAAATTCATGGGAACTACGAACTTGTAACACTGAACCCAAATTTTACCCAGAGATTTTTTTTCATCAAGTACATGATTAAAGAAGGTAAATCAAGACTAGAGTAGCCTTGATAAATGAGAAACATAAAATTCTTGTCTTAAATTAATAAAGGATTATTAATCAGACGCGGGACCCACATCGGAGCGGGGATCACCCGTGGTATTCTTAATGTATAAAAAATTAATGTTGATCTAAACAATACTATTTTGATAGTAGGAATGGGTCGTGGACCCCAGTGATATAAAGAATGACAACTGGACGGCCAAGTGGGCCGGGGCCACTATTCGATAAATGTGAGCCCTTAATTCTCGGGCTATTAATAATTCGGAAGACTATGAATTAATGACAGAAGAAACATAAATATTTTAAGAATCCAAAATAATGGGTTGATAAATATATGATTAATTTGGTACATTAAAGGAGGGTATTTTTGGAGGAACCTACCTCAAAGATATTTTGGTTTGGGAACAAACAGATAAGATTTTACCTGTTCATACATTTTGGACCACTTAAAAAGAAGTGTAACATTTTATTAAAGTGTCACAAAATATCAAAACACATATTGAGTCATGAGAAATGACTCATGAATTTACGAGATGACGCGTTCTCATTTTTACTGTTACTTGAACAGTAAACTGCATGTTGAGCCTACACTAGATCCGATATTTATGGGACCACATATTATATTCATCTTGTTCTAGATAATATATATGTGATGGTGTGAATTCATGTTGAGCCATAGAATTGGTCGGTTGACCAAACGAGGTCCTATTATCGGTATTAGCAAATAAACAGATAACAACCAGAAATAAATTCCGAGGACCACTAAATTAAAGTTGGGTAATATATATTCATTCAAGATGCCAATATTAATTGGAAGCATGATATATATTTTATTTGGCTCGATAAAATAAAATTTAATTAAAACAGTATGAAAAATACAACTTTGGGAGCCGAATGTACACTTCGGGACATATTGGGAAGACCTCCCACATGAGTGGGAGCCACCCCACGACTCTTGGTCTGAAAATAAGTGTTGAGAGTATGGACATGAGGTGTATGATGGATGAAGGGATGGGTTAGACAAGTTTGAAAGTTAGAGGGACCCTCTCCCATTACTAATTGGCCTTTTGAGACAAAAAATTGTCTCTTCACCCTCTCTCCTCTCATTAGTCCGTCCAAGCCATCCCAAGGAAGAAGGAATCTCTGCAAAACTTCATTCTCCATAGCCATAACCAAGCTCAAGCAAAAGGAAGGCTCAAGGAAGAAGAAAGAGTGAGAAAGGAAGAGAAAAACCTTGATTAATTAAGGTAATGATCTTGTTAATATTTTTTCATCCTTCGTTTAATCTCATATGATTTAAAAATAATATGATAGACCCATAAACTTGTTCTACACTCCTGGAGGTGTAGAATGAGAGGTCGGAAGGATAGTTTTAACCATGAACGAAGTTATGACCGGAGTAAGACCGGTTCACCGGAAAATACCCTCTCGGAAGATTTTGATGTTTATACCACTTTTGGTTGTGAAACCTTGTTAGGAGTTTTACCAAGGTTTTCTAGACTTTTCAAGGAATCTAGGAGTGGCCGGAAAAGTTGCCGGAGCCACCGGAGTTTTCGCCGGAAAAGTCCAAAAGTCACCGGAGTTCAATCGAAGAGGATAAAAGCCCGCTAACGTCATTTCAAAGTGAGTGGAAGCCTACGTGTCTTGTAACTCTTGGGTCAAACGTGGGATTACCTAAATAAAATCATAATCATGATTTGAGGAATGATTAAATGGATTAGAATGCATGATTAGTCATGGTGAATATGATTTATGGAAATCTTACATGACTAATGAATAAGAGATTTATTTGTGGATTAATCATGAATATATTATTGTCAAATGTATAAAAATGCATACATGGACTATGTATGAGATAACTAGAGTAATCTAGTATGTGAATATGTATAGAAATGTTCAAAAGTGTTTAAACAAGTGATTAACTATAATGATTATAAGTTATGTGAAAATGGCATGATTAATGAGTAAAAGAATTATTAATATTTTTTATGAAGGATAATCATGACTGATTTAGTTGGACATTAACTAAGGTAATTCAAGATGGTATTCTTGAAGGATTAAAGTACTTAATCATACAATTAAATTAAATCTAGTTATGAAGAATAAACTAGAACGAAATATATAAACGATTAATAAGTATGAAGTACTTATTAATAGTTGTGAGAAGATGGATTTATGCTTTATAAAGTTTGGGTGAGGCATGAGATTACCTAAAGTAATCAAGAATATATTTCATGGAATGATTAAAGATAATCAAGTATGTGTTATGTCATGATTAGATGTAAAATATAGTTGAAAAGCATGTTAAGTAAGCTTGATGAGTTAAAATGTGATAATTAATTATGTAAGATGTTCCAGGGATCCAAAGTGGTATTTTTGGATAAAGGAAGTCAAGAAGTACATGTGTATAAAATTTCACGTTAATCGGACTACGTTTGGGCGGTCAAACGGGCGTTGACCGCCAAGACAAAAGTGAGACCCGACCGGGTATGGGTAAATACCCGACCAGATATTGATTAAAAATGGCTCCAGAAGCCACTGTTACACTAGACCCGACCGGGTATGGGTATAGACCCGACCGGGTCTCAAGTAAAATTTGTTCCAGAGGCTACTGCCTCACCATACCCGACCGGGTATGGGTAAATACCCGACCGGGTATTGGGTTATACACCCAATATGGAGTTTTTAAGTATGTTTACGTGGGCCGTTCGGGTGGGACCCGTCCACGTTGGTTGCTAAGGCTTCGAAAATGGTTTAAACGCTAAGACTTGGACTAGTCATTAGTAAAGAAATTATAGACCACGATCGGGCGAGGTAAGTGGTAGATTATACATGACGGGTGAATACTCGGGACCGAGTAAGGTCAGGTAAAACTCTGTAGGACCAGGATGAGTCCTTTATACTCCAATGTTAACAATGGCCCGTGTAGTCCTTGAGGTGTGTTAACCTCCGGCAAATTACACATAGGTAACAAGGGCAAATGCAGTCCTTGAGGTGTGTTAACCTCCATCAAATTGCATATACGTAACAAGGGCCCGTGTAGTCCTTGAGGTGTGTTAACCTCCAGCAAATTACACATAGGTAACAAGAGCAAATGCAGTCCTTGAGGTATGTTAACCTCCATCAAATTTCATATAGGTAACAAGAGCCTGTGTAGTCCTTGAGGTGTGTTAACCTTCAGCAAATTACACATAGGTAACAAGGGCAAATGCAGTCCTTAAGGTGTGTTAACCTCCATCAAATTGCATATAGGTAAAAAGGGCTCGTGTAGTCCTTGAGGTGTGTTAACCTCCAGCAAATTACACATAGGTAACAAGGGCAAGTGCAGTACTTGAGGTGTGTTAACCTCCATCAAATTGCATATAGGTAACAAGGGCCCGTGTAGTCCTTGAGGTGTGTCAACCTCCAGCAAATTACACAAAGGATGAGGGTGTATGCGTACTCCTCAAGACGGGGTTAGCCCCGGGAATGTAAACTATGATTGTAAGGATGAATAGTCCTCGAGGTAGGTGAACCTCAAGGTAATGATTTTAGATGATTAAACAAGTGTGATCGGGAATGAGTTCCCAATAGGGTATTTTCCTTGGTCTAGGAATTTAATTAAACCATGTCTGTTATATGGAAGCTCGAAGGCCCCCCTCAATAATTATCTTTGTTATCGGGTGAGTTAGCCTGCGGGTGACTTCACTCGAGGGTAGGACATGGGAATGGTGAATTTAATGAGACTGTTACGCCTAAATGATTTGAAAGACAAATGGGTCCACGGGCCAAATATTTTACTCATATGTATATATGTATATAATATGTTTTAAAAAGGGGTAGCCAAGAGTTATGCCTATACATATACTATCATCCTATGTTGAGGGTCCCATGTGAGAAACGTTAGTTATATTACATACAGTTTTCCCTCACCAGTACTTTTTGGTAGTACTGATCCCTCGGGGGAACCACCCTTTCAGGTTGAAGCTAGAGCTTACTTCTTGCACCCGTTGTTTGGGAGATCGATGGAGAGAAGACGTGGTTCGTGCTTCCTCTGGTTCTATTTCTAAATAATTAAATAATGCTCATGGAACTATTTTTGACTTATAAATTAATGGAGCCTGCGAGCTCTTGTTTTATTCTCGTGTGGGTTCTTATTAAACATTTATATTTCGCTATGTGTTTAATTGTATGTTGATGTTGTTATGTATGTTTACTAATCGGTTTTGGCATATGTATCTATCGAACGTCTTGTGCAATTTAGTAAGGATGAACTGCGGTTATTCTTATTGGGTTGTACGACAGTTGTCTACGTGGCAAAGACACGGTCTGGGGCGTGACAATTAAGTGGTATCAGAGACAGGTTACTAAACTATGTAGTCAACCTCTCAACAAAGTTTCTATCAATACAATCTTTCAATGAAAATCCATGAGCATAAATTTTGTACTTTAAGAGCATTTGGTTATTAAGTTGCAAGGTCTCTGGTTGTTAAGATGAGCCCCTTAACAATTGGTATGGCAGTGACTTGAGCCAAGTTGTGTCTTAAGTACGTTTCCGTCCATTGAAATTCAAACGAGTCCAAAGACTCATTTCAATATATTCTTTCAGGGATTGGTGGTAGCGATAGGGCGGTTCGGGGGAATTCGAGAGGGCGCGCTCCGGGGATAGACGGGCAAGCCAATCGGGGGGTATCAAGGTCGCCAAAAAGGCGAGGTAGGGGCCATCAAGGTCAACATACACGAGTTGCGATGGCTGATCGCAATGTGACTGAATTTGAGTCGTGGAACTCGGAGGATGACTCAACTTATCATCCTGAAAGTGAGTCAGAAGAAACTTCTTTTGAAGGAAACGGTAGAGAGGATTTACATAGTATTCCTCTTGACCAAATCAGTGAGATGTACCGATGGTACCAGCGGGAAAGGGAAAGGCAATGACAAATATCCCAGGTGGGACATGTTAGAGACGAGACCTCTCGCAGGAGGGGT